ATCAGTGGGTGCACCTTCCTGGGAATTTGCCTTCAGAATAAAGGAGCTGAACAGAGTTGTCATCTCTTTAAGGATATTTTTCTTAGAGCACAAGAGCTCTTGATTCCCACATGGACGAAATCAGAAAAAGAGGGCAGGAGACCAGCAGAGCTGAGTAAGGATCTCTTGGTCAAACTAAAATGTAAGAAGTAAATACATAGGCAGCAGAACCTGGAACATGTCTCCTGGGAAGAAAATAGATGTGTATGGATGGGATCAAAAAAGTTAAGGCACAGTTGGAGCTGAATTTGGCAAGGGATGTGAAGACTAATAAAGGGTTATGCAGGTACCTTGGGCAGAAAAGGAAGATTAAAGAAAATGTACCCCCTTCAGTAAATAAGAACTAGTGATGATCAATGTGTAGAAGGCTGAGATGCTCAATATTTTTTTGCCTCTGTTTTCAATGGTAATCTCTCTTCACACATCTCTCAGTCCCTGAACCTCAAGGCAGAGACTGGAGAAATGAAATCAGGTTCAAAGATATCTGAGGAACCTGAACATATATAAGTCCATGGGACCAGATGAGACACATCCCAGAGTCCTGAGGGAATTGTTTTATGTAGTTGCTGAGCCACTCTCCATCACATTGGAAAAGTGGCAATCAAGCAAAGTCCCAGTGACTGGAAAAAGGGAAAAATCACACCTATTTGAAAAAAAGGTAAAAAGGAGGACCTTGGGAACTGCCAATCAGTCAGCCTCACGTCTGTGCCCCATAAGATCATGGAGCTGGTCCTCCTAGAACATATATCAAAACATGGAAGACAGGGAAATGATTAGAAACAGCTGACATGGCTTCACCAAGGACCAATTGTGACTGTAATCTAGTGGCCTTCCACAATGGAGTGATTGTATCAGTGGACAAGGAAAGATTCCATAGATGTCATCAATCTGGAATTTTGTAGGGTCTTTGTTACAGTCAACCACTACATTCTGACCTTCCAGTTGGAGAACTACAGGTTTGATAGATGGATTGTTAGATTGCAGAGGGACTTGGACAGGCTAGAGAGATGGGCTGAGACCAATGGCGTGAGGTTTAATGAGAGCAAGTGCCAGGTCCTACAGTTTGGCCAGAACAACCCCATGCAGGGGGAAGAGTGGTTGGAAAGTGGCCCAGTGGAAAATGACCTGGGAGTGCTGATAAACAGCAGCTGAACATGAGTCAGCAGTGTGCCCAGGTGACCAAGAAAGCCAGTGGCATCTTGGCATGTATCAAGAATAGCGTAGGCAGCAGGACCAGGAAAGTGGTCATCCCCCTGTGCTTGGTGCTGGTGAAACTGCACCTCAAGTACTGTGTTCAGTTCTGGGCCCCTCACTTTAAAAAGGACATACAGATAATGGAGCCTTTCCAGAGAAGGGCAACAAGGCTTGTGAAAGGTCTAGAAACATGCCTTATGAGGAACAGATGAGGGAGCTGGGTTTGTTTAGTCTTGAGAAGAGGAGGCTCAGGGGGAACCTCATTGGTCTCTACAGCTACCTGAAAAGAGGTTGTAGTGAGGCAGGGGCCGATCTCTTCTACTGCGCCTGCAGTGAGAGCACCAGAGGAAATGGCCTTAAGCTGAGACAGGGGAGATTCAGATTAGATATTAGAAAAAATTTTTCCACTGTTAGGCTGGTCAGGCATTGGAATAGGTTTCCCAGGGAGGTGGTAGAGTCACCATCCTTGGAAGCGTTTGAGAAGCATGTTGATCCGGTGCTGGGTGATGTGGCTTAGTGGTCTAGGTATTACAGTGGTAGTACTGGGTTGATGGTTGGACTTGATGATTTTAAAGGTCTCTTCTGACCTTGATGATTCTATCATTCTATAATTCTATGTTTAAGGAATCAGCTGGAGGGTCATGTTCAAGGAGTTACAATCAATGGCTTATTGTACAAGTGAAAACCAATAATGAGTGGTGTCTCTCAAGGGTCCGTGGTGGGATCAACACTGATGGCACAGGCAGTAGGACTGAGTGCACCCTCAGCAAGTTTGCAGATGACACCAAGGTGAGTGGTGCAGCTGATACATTGAAGGGAACGGACACCATCCAGATGGACCTCGACAGGTGTAAGAGGTTCAACAAGGTGAAATGCAAGATCCTGCACCTGGGTTGAGGTAATTCCAAATATGGATAAAGACTGGAGTATGAATGGATTGAGAATAGCCTTCAGGAGAAGGACTTGGGGATACTTGGGGATGAAAAATTTAACATGAGCCAGCAATGTGCGCATGCAGCCCAGAAAAACAATCATATCCTGGGCTGCATAAAAAGTGTGGCTAGCAGGTCAAGGAAGGGTGATTCTCCTCCTCTACTTTTCTCTTGCAAGACACCCATGTGGAGTACCAAGGTTTTTTTTCCACTGTTTTATTTAATCAGAAAATGTAGTTCCATAAAAAAAAATTCCTGAGAAGAATCAGTTTGAGCAAATTCATGAAAGTGATTTCTTAGATCAAGGGCAAATTCTTTTTTTTTTTGGCTTCTAATTGCAGAGGAAAAGACAACTAATGTCCTAGTCATTACAGCACTCTGACAGTCTCTGGTAGGCCCAGGTTTAGCTTTCTGTCCTACTTTGTTATTTTGAGTTCTGCTCCTTTGCTCTCCTCTCTCTCTCACAGTTTCTTATATTCCTTATTACATCATCTGTGATGTACAAAACCCTGAAATTTACTTCAGTGTAAAATTAGAAGCATTTTAGAAAATTTGAAGTATTTTTAGAATACATTAGACTATTTAGTTGCATAGGAGAAATGTCGTCCACCTAATTCTAATGCTGAAAATAGATGAATGAATCATAAAGAGTATGAATAATCACGACTTTGTGTATTACCAAAAACTAATATCTTTAGTGGCACTGACATATCTTGCATTAAACAAAGGTATAAATATAGATTCAATGGGTTACCAAGCTTGATTAGACAGGTAACTATGAACTATAACGTCAAACTGCATGCTTAACGACATGGCATGAAGTAATGAATAGTCAATAAAACTTTTGAATATATTGTTTTCCAAGGAACAAAATAGAAGTGCTGCTGCTTTGTGTCTTTCTTTTATTTCAAATGTCTTTTCATAAATTAGATATCATGGATATCAGAGCAAAGGCTAATGGTAGAAACCAACCTAAAATACTTTATATGAAGAAAGCACAATAGCTCACAAGTCAAGAAAGAGAACTGTAGGGCATGGAACATAAAGACATTAAATTGCACAATTAACATGAGAAATAAGGTGTAGATTCTCATTAGCAAAGACTTTGGAATGCTCTTGACTGAAGGTCATTATTTACTGTCAAAGATTCAATCCAATTTCAGCAAAATCACACAGTGCTAACAAAACCTGGGGTCACAGCTGCCTGACAAGAGAATCATTATTATCTTGGTACTTTAATTAAAGGAAAGAATGATAAGGTTGCTAAATATTAAGTTAGTAATCTGAATTTTCTTTTGGAATCTGACACAACTGCTAGCATGGAAATCTGGTTTGAAAAAGGGTAATATGCAAATTAGAAAATGTAAAGCATGACTCACATTTGAATCATAGAATTATAGAATCATAGAATTATCAAGGTTGGAAGAGATCTTTAAGATTATCAAGTCCAACCATCAACCCAGTACTACCACTGTAATACCTAGACCACTAAGCCACATCACCCAGCACCGGATCAACATGCTTCTCAAACGCTTCCAAGGATGGTGACTCTACCACCTCCCTGGGAAACCTATTCCAATGCCTGACCAGCCTAACAGTGGAAAAATTTTTTCTAATATCTAATCTGAATCTCCCCTGTCTCAGCTTAAGGCCATTTCCTCTGGTGCTCTCACTGCAGGCGCAGTAGAAGAGATCGGCCCCTGCCTCACTACAACCTCTTTTCAGGTAGCTGTAGAGACCAATGAGGTTCCCCCTGAGCCTCCTCTTCTCAAGACTAAACAAACCCAGCTCCCTCATCTGTTCCTCATAAGACATGTTTCTAGACCTTTCACAAGCCTTGTTGCCCTTCTCTGGAAAGGCTCCATTATCTGTATGTCCTTTTTAAAGTGAGGGGCCCAGAACTGAACGCAGTACTTGAGGTGCAGTTTCACCAGTGCCTACGCTATTCTTGATACATGCCAAGATGCCACTGCCTTTCTTGGCCACCTGGGCACACTGCTGCCTTGGCGGGGATGTGCAGGTATAAATAAGAGTCAGTATAATTTGAATTAAAAAAATGCAGGACAAAATTTATAGTATATATTGATGTTCAGAGAAGACAGGGATTAAGTTAAAGAGAAACATCATGCTTTCCTCTTTCACAAATCACTTTTTGAATGAATTTTTACATCACAGTGAAGTTTTTTTCCTAAATATGTTGCTTCGGTTTACATAATTTCCAAGTAAAAACTACAATGCAGAACAAAAGTGCCAGCAAAGTGTGGCAATTTTGGATGCTTGAGTCTCATTTAAGAAAAATACCTCAAATTATAATAAAGGTATCTCTACAGACTGGGAGGAGAAAGAATGGAGTATAGATCACAACAGGGGGCAGTCTCTGGGTTTTTTGAATTTTTACAGTGCCTTTCTGAAACTCAGAGACTGTCTGTGACTAACAAATGTAATTCAAGAGGGTCCCAAGTTCATTGATACTAAATTTATGAAGTGAATTGTAGCCAGTCTGTAGGAACCTACTGAATTTAGGAATAGAGCCTGGAAACACGTGTCTCTCTAGGGGTGACTTATTTAAAAAAGACTCCTATCTCTCTGTTCAGAAGCCTCAATAGGTGTTGAATTCTGCATAAATAAATTGGTATCTTTGAGATTATGTCTGATGTCTGCTGCATAGCTTTGAAAATACAGATTTGCTAGGCACAACAGGGGTTTGCATTTGTTAATCAAAACTGCAAAACTGCAAGGCAAGGTAAAATCTTTGAAGTTTGATTATCCTCAATTTTTGCTTCCTAAGGAAGTCTCTGATTAATTGCTATATTTGTTATTTAGCATAATTGGTCCAAATTCAAATGCCAGATCACTGCAACGATCTACTTATGGTGAGTAAAAGTGAAACATCATTTCCGAGTAAAGAGGTTGTTAAGCTTCTCCAACTGGATACACTAGCTGACAGGAAAAAAAACCAACCCTTTAAAACCAAAAGGCAATTGAGCACAGTATACTGGAATTGGGGAAAGCAGCACTTTAAAACAAGATTAAGAACAGTGATTAATTTTGTATGTAACTTCACGATTATTTATACTAAAGTTGGTACTCTCTTAAAATTATAGTTGCCCTCCTCCTGGAGAGTACAGGGGAGAAATTTTTTGCTTTGAATAGTCAACATTAATCATAAACCCCAGAGATTTCTGTGTTCAGTAATGATAGTCAGAATCCACAAACCAAAGTGAAATATGATTAATTATAAGAAAATGAAAATGATTTGACATACTGTACGAAAGAATGTATCTATTACTTTCCTTTTGCAAAGATGTATTCTTTTATGCAAAAGCATTCTATGTAAAAGAGGTGCTGTTTTTGTTGAGACTTATTGCCTAATAGCATTATGTATGTAGACCTGCATAATCAAATACATATAGAAATTAGAGCACTGGAAGCTGGACTACTTTAACACCACCCCTTCAATTCCAAAAAACAAACAAAAAATGGTCTAAAAACACTTGAGAAATTACAATTCTAGCATTTCATCAACATTTTCCACGATGTCATTGCCATCTATTTCTTATTCTTCTTTGACAAAATACTCAATCGCTCACTTTTTTATGAATCTAACCAATCAATATGGGACTACCTGGGCTACTGTCTTGTCTCAGTAGAAGTCACTGGGAAAAGTTCCTTTGATTCAGTAGTGTCAGGATTTTACTCATGATTATTAAGCAAAATGATGTTCAGATTATTTCATGACACTGCCCTATATCTATTAATGCTACTTTTTAATGTGCTGTTATATGTGCTTCTGCCCTGGGATACAAAGAACAGGGGAGCAGTGTTTCCTTTGCAGCAAGAAGCAAGGGATTAGTCATGAAGAAGGCAGATGCAGAAGAGGAAAAGGAAGAAGACTCACTTTGGTGGCAAATGAAGAAGACCCAAGAGCAAAGATCAAATGTTGGCCTGGAAAGTCAGGATGAGGCTGCAAAGTGGGTGAATTAGATGCCTCTCTTTTCTCAGTTTGCTCATTATATAAACAATTTGACACAAGCCATTTATTTTGTAAAGAATAATCAGTTCTCAGAATTAACACTGGATCCTTGGTCTTAGTAAAAATGCAAACTAGTGTCATGAACTGGAATGGGGAACCATAAGTCCTATTCTCATACATTCCTGGAACAGCACTGAGCTATCCATTGCTACAGTAATTCCCCTGTGTGTATTGGATTTGCATGACAGGTTTTGATAATGGGGGTCTGCAGGGATGGCTTCTGTGATAAACTGCCAGAAGCTTCCCCTTTGTACAAAAGTGCCAATGCCAGTCAGTTCCAAGGAAGATCTGTGACCTGCCAAGACTGAGTCCATCACTGATGGTGGTAGTGCCTCTGGATAACATGTTTAAGAAGTAGGAAAATTTACTGTGCAAGAGTGATGGCAGCCAGACAGAAGAGTGAGAATATATCAGAGAAACAGCCCTGCAGGCACCAGGTTCAAGGAAGAAGGGAAGGGAGGAGGTGCTCCAAGTGCAGAGATTCCCCTGCATCCTGTAGTGCAGACCATGGTGAGGCAGCTGTCCCGCTGCAGCCCATGGGGGTCCACAGCGGAGCAGAGTCCACTTGCAGCACATAGAGGAATTCACACTGGACCGGGTGGATGCCCAAATTTCTGTGACCCTGTGGGAAGCCCATGCTGGAACAGGCTCCTGGCAGGACCTGTGGCTCCATGGAGAGAGGAGCCCATGCTGGAGCAGGTTTGCTGTCAGGACTCATGATCCTGTGGAGCACCCACGCAGGAGCAGCATGTTCCCAAAGAACTGCACCGCATGGAAGGGTCCCACACTACAGCAGTTGTGAAGAACTGCAGCCAATGGGAAGGACTCATGTTGGAGCAGTTTATTGGAGGACTGTCTTCCACGAGAGGGACCGCAAGCTGAAGCAGGGAAAGAGTATAAGGAGTCCTCCCCCTGAGGAGGAAATAGCAGCACAGACAACATGTGAAGAACTGACTGCATTCCCGGTTCCCCACACCCATCAAGAAATTTTCTGTACATCATTTTGAAAGGATCCCTTTTCAAAGGTCTCAGGAGGCCCTGTTCTGCAAACCCTTACCTCAGCACAATGCCTTTGACACACATAGCTCTGTTGGTAGTGATTTGCAGCTTGTTTGAGCAAGGGTTTCTGGATCCCATCACTGAGATTTCTATCAGGGAACAGGTAAATCTATAAGAAATATTTGAAAAATCTCTCAAGCACTTCCAGCACATATTACAGAGACACAGGAAAGATTTATTTAACACGCTTGAAAATCTGAGAGCTTTTTTTTCTTTCAAAAAAGTTGTGATAGCAATTTAAAAATTAAATAACTCTCATGCCCCAGAATGTTTATTGCTGAATTATCCTTTTAGGATTTTGCTGGATCCTGCTGTGCTATTTTTCTCTCTAAGAAGCAATTTCCTAAAGATTTCACCATTACATTGCTGCTGTAACAAAAATGTGTTTACTTTTTACAACTTGAAAAATGTATGTATGTGCAGAACACCTACACATGTAGTGTTTTTCTTCTAGGGAAGAGATTTGGAGTACAGAGAAGGAACTCACTACTTTCTTCCTAGCATGAAATATTTACAGATTAGTTCTGTAAAGAGCAACAACCTTTCTCTAGGAAACAGAAGATTGCTGCTTTCTTGAACTCTGTCTGCAGGTCTCACTCTTTAGTTCAAACTGCTCCACTTGCAGCACCTGTGATATGTGCCTGTGCACCCCCCACCTTTCTTTCCTTGCTGCTACATGCTTATTCTTCTCTCTGATTGAAGCCTGCCCATAATACTGCAGGGGGAGGGGGAGGCTGGTCATCCTCCTGAGGAAGACCTGTGTTTGAAGTGAAGTGTGGTTCTCGGTGGAGGATTGCTCAGGTGGGCAGGCACCTCTGGAGAGTGAGACCAGTCTCAGCAAAGGGTCAGCTGCAGCAGGCTGACCAGCACCTTGCCCTGTTAGGTTTTGAATATATCTCCATGGATAGAGACTACCTCTCTGGACAAACTGTACCAGTATTTTACTATCCTCACAGTAAATTATTTCGTTCTTATTCTTAAATGACTATTTGGGCTTGTCCTTATTTCATCTCACTGTCTCGCTGGGCACCAGTGCGAAGAGCCCAGCTCCAATTTCTTTACTCCCTTCCCATTAGGGATTTATACACATTGATGAGTTCTCCCCTGAACTTTCTCCAGGCTGAACAGGCCCAGTTTTCTCAACCTCTCCTCCTATGACATATCCTAGTCACTTAACCACTTAGTGTCCCTTTGCTGGACTTGCCTCCAGTATGTTCATGTCTCCTGTACTCTGCATTGCAGTCCTAGTACATGGTAGCACTGAGTGGAGCTGACCCACACATGGAACAGCACAGACCCACCATGAGCTGCCACACTGACAGACCACTGGGGAGAGATGTTAGACCAATCCCTTCTCCTGGCTTATTTCCCTGGAGCAGCAGCCAGGGCAAGGATCCCACACACTATGCCTCTGATGAGTGTAAGCAATCAATCTGACTGTCTTGCAGTGCCTGCAGTTTTCTCTCAGATTTTTTTAAAGCACAAATGGCAGCATTGCTATATTGTTCCAAATAGCAAAGGATCTGAACTTCCAAAGCTGCCAAGTTCTAATCAGAATCCAAACTACTTATCTTCAGACACTGCTCACTTCGAACACATTTTTTCGTTTGTTTGACTTGGGTCACTGGCACAAAATCCTAATTTCAAGTCAAAGGCAGTAAACTTTTATTCAGCACATTCAATGCTCATCCTGACCTAAGTAACTCAAATTCTGAAGATTGATGTATTACACAAATTTAGTTTGAGTTTTATTAGGCATTTCTCAACAGTGTATATCTTCAGCTACTCTGAGAAATATTCACACTCTCTGAAGATATGGTAATTTGCCCTTCTGCACAGGCATCCTTGCTGCAGATGTTGTGAGACTGACAAGTGCTTCTCAGTATATTCCCTCAAGATCCTGTAAGTTTAAACTGAATCTCAAAGATAATTTCCAGTCTTCTAATTCATATATACTGAGTTCTGTTAACTACACCATTTTATGCTCAGCACTCAAAATATGTTTTGTGATATTTTACAGATGCAACATCTAAAAAGGCACGGGAAATACTGGAAACAGCCAGTGACCCAAAATACCCTGGGGAACTGAAGTGCAGAAAGCTCTTGCATCCTTTTATCTTGGATAAATACTTTCAGATTTCTTTGCTTTGATGATTTGAGAGTCTGCCAATGTACAAGTTATGAGATCTAGTCAATTGTATAATATTATTGTAAAAAGTCTGTGGTTTTTTTATTTCAATCTATGTATATGGAATTTTGTCATTTTTTGAAAAGTTCTGTACTACTTACCAGATTAGGCACAATGATGAGTCATTAACATTGTGATCACCCTGTCTGCATAGAAGGCATGCTCAGCAGGCCAGCTGAAGATAGAAAAGCAGTTTTTTTACCTCTCCTATTCTTCTATAGAAGAGAGCAAAAGGAAAAAAACCCAAACTTTCTTTTCAGGGCAGCAAGATAAAGCAACAAAGTAGGGAACAAAAAATTATTCACAGAAGGGGAAAAAAAGTGCTATAAGGAGTCTTCTGGCCAAAGTGGAGAATCTGTGGTTCATTGTCTACCAGTCACTGCCATGGAAATCTTCTGGTCTGGGGTGACTCTGGGAGAGATGTTCTGAGGCAGCACAGGAACACAGTACCTGAGCTCATCCAGCAACACACAAGCAAAGTTTCTTGCTTCATCCAGGCTTTCTTATCACTCACCCCGTCATGCAAAAAACAGATCTGAATGTCCACTGATCTATGCGTGGACAGCTATATAAAGCAAGCATGAAAGACACAAACTCATGCACATTGGATTTCAACTGGCTTTGCCCATGTGTCAACAAAGAGGGCAGAAAAATCAGGCTGTGCAAGCTCCTAATATGGAGTCGTAAGAGTGGCTCCTGTCCCTTTTCATTTCAGCCTCCAATTCAAATAAGTCACCTCCATCCTTGGTTGAAAAGCAGAATATCCCACCCAACTAAGTGCTGCCCCAGATAACATGCAATCTGCAAGGCCAAAACCAAAAAGCATCACCAACAGTGCAAACACATTTGTAGAAGTTCTTAGCGCTGCTCACTTCTTCACATAGTCCCCTGCTGTTTCTATACAGGTTTTATTAAAATTGACTTAATTTCATATGGTAGACACGAGAATAATTCCCAATTATTATATTTCATTACTATTTCATCCTTTTTATTTTAAAAAGGCACATTATGCATATATACATGATACAATTTTAATTAATAACTTTTCTATTCAATCTCCAGTTCTGGTGAAATTATTTATATTAAAACAATTATGCATTAAAAGCATGTGTGAAACTGAACAGATTTTGAAGTTTAACCCTAAATTTGTCTTTTTGAATCCTAGAATTGGCATTTTTTTGAGAGAAAACATGGACAAGGAAAAGAGAAAAATAGAATAAGCTAAGAGAGTGTGATTTAATGTTATATGACAAGAAATCAAAACAAAAAAGCCCTGCCAGAACAAATGGGGGCTTCAAAACCAAATGTTAGTTCCCTATTACCATCAAAGGCAAACCACAGAGCCAATGGTTTTCATACTGCCATCACTTTACATCTAGCAAAATGTAGTACAAAACAACACTCTTCCACTTAGGCCTAAATCCAAAAATGATACTGAGATGTTCATATCCAATTGAAATTAATGATCCATTTAAATTGAACAGAGAAGGAATCTCAAACCTGATGCAATGTTGAAGCAGTATCCATAAAGAGAGGAATCTCAAGCAGCTTAGAAATCTAGTACATTGGCTGATGAGGAGTACATTTCCATGTGTCTTTTCCTATATTCTCTGTATAGGTAGTGGCATCCTGGGGGCCAGACTCCCAAAAATTAGATATAATGATACTCCCCCTGCATTTAAGTTATTTGTGCATCTTAAATTCCATATGCTTGAGTAATAAACACCAAGAATCCTACCATGTGTGCTTTGGTGAG